TGCAAGGGGATTTCCATTTGGGAAATGGATGGAACCCTTTGGCCAATAGTGTATCTTTAAATATTCTCAGGGTTGACAATCCAATTCTTTGTAGATAATGCCAGGCTTTAAGCATAGGCTGCTTATTTAAGAGGGTGCAAATCCTCCAAAGTCAGGCTAAGTCTTAAGGGGAGTTTTCCATTTTGGCGATTGTTACCAACTAAGTACCTTCACTACAGGTAAGAATGGTGAGTGTTACTGGCGAGTGCATAACTCGTGCTGCAGGGGGTTGTGCTGAAAGTCTTGCTTGAAAATTTCCGGTTTTGTGGCTCTTCATAATTTCTTTTATAGTCTCGTGGACTATAGAAAGGGAAAACGATCTGTTATGGAACTGGGAATTACACCAAACTTGACAACGATCATCGTAACGCCAACCGGATGATCATTACACCACAACACCTTTTCTGGAAATCACAATCTCAACACCCGCTGGATCAGCGTGTGAAATGGCTTCACATGAGAAACAGCATATAATAGGTTATGGTACCAGATACCATATTGTTCTATTCAATTGCCTTCACCTGGGATTGAACCAGTATCTTGTGATTTGACCTGTGAAGTGTTAACCACTACACTATAGACCCACAGATCAATTATTATTATAATATCAATTAGACAATTATTAAATCATAATATTTTTATTTATTTATTTTATATTATATTTTAATATTTATTTTAGTATTATACAATTAATAATTGCAATATAATAATAGAATTATTAATTATTATTATTTTTTTTTAATCCTGCAATTAGGTTGGTATCATTTATTTATTAAATCATAAAGAACTATTACACACACGAGAATATATGCAAAGTACAAATTTCTCCAACCTAACTTACCCGTTTTTAGCCGAAGCCTCTAGATACAATTTATGGGGTGATGTATTGTTCTCTTAAAGAATGGGATTAAGATCCCAAACTTCTGATAGGATCGGCACCTGCAGATCACCTCTACAGTCATAACCATAAATCCAAATTTGTGTCACTCCCTCTTATAGAAACTATGCAAGGAGAAAAAAAAATAAAAAAGGAATTTTTTGACAAAGAGAAAAGAAAAAAAGCTATCATTTATTCTAACTATCATTGAAAAAGTTATCTCAGTAAACTTAAAACCCAAGTCCCTTATAGTTTCCTACTTATTACCACCTGTAGTCAGTTAGACTATTTAATTTCCAATAGAGTAGTTGATATTCAAGAATGTTTAAGGGTACTTCTAGGAGAGTATTTCTTGAAACTTTATGCTTGAAGACTTCTAATCAGAAAGAATGTTGGTTTTCTATTGTTGATTTCTTTTCCAAGCCATATCTTCTGAAATTATAGCTTCACTCAACTAGTAAATAGTTTCAAGATCTCTTTCTTCAACTATTTTCAGAATAGATATTGATACTTCAACTTGTTATCAGATTGGGATAGGACTTAGACTTTGTTGCTACTTTCTGTCCTCAAGAAAGAATAAGGAAGAAAAAGAAAATAAAAAAATGAAAACAAAAAAAGATGTTACTCTTTTTCTTCTTACAACTTCAACTTGAAACTGTCCAACTCTTTCAGGAACCAATTACATCATCAGTTTGGTGTTGCGCAACTGGGAACACATGAGAAGTACATGTCTTGTTTACTTTTTCTATGGCTGACGTGATCAACTAATCCGTGACATTAACCAATCATCTTTTAGGAAATCCAGTGTAATCAAAAAATTCAGGGTCAAATTGAGGTAGACAAAATTCTCTAGAAATATCAGAAAAAAGGAAGCATGCTGGAGAAAAAAAAAGTGAGAAGCCAAAAAGATTATGGAAAGACTAGAGACTTCTTTATTTTTGTTTCTCTAGGTTCTTGAATTTTTTGGAAGTCTTTGAAGGGTATTTTTTTTTATCAGTTTTCTTCCTATAAAGGTGTTCTTGCCATAGACCTTTTAGATGGGTTTCTTGTATTTAGTTGCAAAAATAAACAAGAAAAGTGTTTTGAAAAAGAAAAATAAAACAAGTGGTAGCTTCTGCTCGCTTGGCTGGTTAGAACCAGTATTGTTTTTAAGGAAAGTATATAGACTTTATTATTATAAAGACAAAAAATCTTTTGAAAACGTCTGTTTTTTGGGTTGGCAAAAGGATCAGCAAAAAGAATAGAATTATCAATTATATTTTCAATAATATAAAACAAAACTTATATATATTTTTGTATTTTTAAATTAAATTTTTATTATCAGATTATAATTTTTCAACCAATCAATTTTAAAATTTCATAATTAATGAAATTAATATATACAAAATATTTCAAATTTTTTGAAAAAACAATTATTTTATTTTATTTTATAATTATTATATTATAATAAGATTATTGATTCATATTATATTTAATGAAACAAAAACCTGTTATTTTATTTTAATTTATAATAATTTTTATGAAATTTATTTAAAACAAAATTATTTTTCAATACAACTTATTTTAAATAATTTAATTTTACATAATAATATTTATAATATAATTATACAAAATTTTAAAAACTCTTGAAAAAAAAAATTTTTTTTTATTTCTTTTTAATAATATATATATATATTTAAAAATTTTGGTTTTATTTTACATATTTTTTTAAAATATATTAAAAAATCAAATTTTAAAAAAAAAACAACTTTGTTAAAATATATATATTGAAAAATCTCCTTTTCTTTTTTTAAAAACTCTTAACTATATGCTGAAAAATATCAGATATAAAAATATATAATCATATTCATATATTAGTTATAAATCTATTTAAATAATTTAAAATCTTTTACTTTTTTTATATAAAAATCATCAAACATCAAAAAGTGCGGAAATGACAACTTTACTGCTCGTTATCTCCCTTTAAGTTTTAAGCTTTGCTTCGGACAATAAAATTCGTAAATTTTTTTCATAAAATGAATATATTTTTTAGGAAACTGTACGTTGAGATAGATTATATGAAACCAATAATACCGTAAGATGTTTTATGACATGAAAAAAAATTATTAATATTATTATTTGTTGATTTTTTAAGTGTAACATAGCGATGGTGATTTTAGCAGGCGAGTTTTACTTGAAAAATGAAATAAAATAATATTTTTTAAAAAATAATTATATTAAGTAAAAAAAAGCCTTACGTTAAAAAGATTTTTTTATATTGTTTATTTTTAAAATGCATTAATATATTTATTTATTAATTAATTATCATTGGTATGATATGATACTGTATATGGATATTAATATATGCGGTGGTATATACAAGTATTTGTATTTTATATTTTTATAGGATCCCATTAACAAAAAAGTTATTCGCTTTTTTGAAAAAATATTTTTTTTCCCGTGTATTATTTTTAAGTTAAATCAAATTGTAATAGGTATAGGTAAGCTGAAAACCATTTCAGATTAATATTTTTTTCGCCGGGAACAAATAAGCTGTGCTGTTCAGCGAAAATCACGAATGCATGCGGAACTGTCATGTATTAAAATTTACTATGATTATCCAAGAAATTTCCCGATATATATTTTTTTGAATCAAAAATTCAAGGTCGGGACAGCAATCACGTGTCTTTTCTTTTTGCGAATAACGAGGCTCGAAAATCTCTTTGTTCGGCTAAAATTTATAATCTGGATTTAGAATTCTTTGACAAGTTTCACCCTACCACTAGATTGTGAAAATAGCTAAAATCAACTTTACAGAGGCCAGGAAAGAAGAGATGTGCAGTGTTTGATCCTGAAGTATTGACACAATAACAGGATGTTTGCGCCACATATGAATAAGCGAGATGGCATCCATTGAAAAAAAGACATGAAACAACCGTTGCAAGCTTTACCACGCCTTGGATTGTTGATTATTATATTGTAATGGCGCTTGTACACCAAACACAGCATGTTTTACCTTGCACCGTCATACCATGGCTTGTCTTTCTATAAAATTCGTTGTACTAGCGACGCCAAGGAACTCACTAAAATCACCAAATGTTGTGTTTAAATTATTCATTTTTGCCCTAGAATATATAGGTTTAACGGTGGTCGTATAATAACATATTAAGTATCCGATCGTGTCTTACAATTTACACAATGTCATCCGCCTTCAAAATCGTCACGCAATACTCTCTAAAAGACCAAGAACAACATTTGCGCGACCTCCGGATTATTCTATCTCGGTGGGGCTGATTGAAAATTTAATTTATCCATTCTCCAAATTAGCCGTTGTGTGTCAATCTCCTAATTAGGGGAATTCAAGACACATGACAGAATTCAAAATTTTGGTGAAATCGGGTTTCTGCGTGGACTGATGATTTTCTGCAAAATGAATTACAAGTAAATGAATGACATTAAACTAGATCAAAAGAGGATCATATAAAAAAACTCCGACGCTAGTCTGATTTTCATCGAACGCAATCAATTTAATAAGCCTAACCGAATTAAGGGAAGGGTCGGTAACATTGAGGAGTGCAAATAAGTTACCACCGGAAAGGGCAAATAGGGTGACGACGGGAGTTAATGAAGTGTATGGATTAGGAAATTAAGATTATTAACAAGTATAGGAAAGAAACAAAAACTTTTTTTATATGTCCAGAGTACTTAATAGGAAAGACTCATACATTCACAAATCAAAATAATTATCCCCATGCAGGAGTTCCCGTTTTGTCCTGTTTGTCAAGTCCTTTAGTGATTCAAAATTAATGTGGATGTATGTAACAGTAACAGTGGTTGTCCATCGATATAAATAAAAATGCAAGTAGCGAACCGGTATTGTTATGTGCCGATTATTTCTACATCTTCAGGATAATTTCGTCTTACAATTTAAAAAAGAAAAATTTTTCTTATTTTCTTTTCTCTTTATTGGAATTTTGATAACAATTTTCACTGAAATTCCATAATTCACTGTTTGCTGTAGTTTTGATTGCGACTTAAATATTTTTACTTAATACAGTATAACAAGCTTAGAAAAGGTGACCATCTTCCCTTGATAGAGGTATAAATGAACCCCCAAGAAGCTTACAGTCCCCCAAATCAACAAAATCAACAATTTTTTTCTTATGAGAATAACCCATCCGATGTTTCATTAAAATATCAACATTCGGAATCAAATTATGAATACGCATCACGGAAACCACCGTTTTCAACAGACGATGATGTTACGACGAATAGATCGTTGACTGACGGTTGGATGTTCCGACCACCGGAGAATGGCCATGTTATCACCACTGGCGAAATGATAAGTCGAATTGTGCAATATTACGAGGTAAAAGGACGAGTTTTCTTGTGTAGAAAGCCTAGTTGTGTGGTATCACGTGACAGTCTTCGATAAAAGTGTTTCCCGATAACATTATGCTAACCATTTCGCAGATGTTTGCAGTAAACGTATTCCTACTTGGCTATAATGTTCTGAAAAACGCGAAAGCCGGTGTTTCCAGTTCCACCTACAATAATGTTCTCTTTGATGCCTGCTCTGATCGCTTCGTCATCGAACAATTTGACTTCTGCGCTGCCTCAAGATTGATATGGGTTCTCATCGGCGGTGCCGTTATCTATTTCGTCTTCACATCTATTGTCGCATTTGGGTTATACTTGGAACTCAAACGAAAGGGATACGATGCATCGTTTACAGCATTATGGCATTCTCCCGTATTCGTTTTGTGCTATTTTTATGAGGACCGACGGAGGGTAGATATCTTGAGAATACCAAACAAGTATGTGAAGTTAAGCATCTGGACACGAACACATGTGCATAAGATTTCGTTGGCGTTGTATTGTCTTTTTTGTATGATTTTTATCTTGATTTCGTTGGCTCATGGGTATGTACATACATGTATTTCTTCAAACTTAATTTTGCCACGAATGACTACTTTATTATTAACACATCATATTTAGAACCGCCGAAAAATCACGAATAGACGGCGAAGGTTTCGATAAGGGACTAAAAAAATGTGAGTGCATTTTAAATATGGGTTGACTCTATGCCTTTTCAATTCATATCATTCCCTAACATTCTTCTCGACCTTTCTTTCCAATAAATAACAGATTACAACCCGTATCTGATACCTTATTATCTTGCCTTGTATATATTCTCAAAAACGCTATTGGAAATGTTGATTAGCATATTTCAAGATAAAAATTTAAGGAACGAGCCAGAAAGAATAGGAAGAGAATATTCATCCTTCAAGAAGAATGAATAGTTGGGGACAACATATTTTTGTTGGAAATCGAAGCAGCCAAACAAGTCATTTGAAAATATTGATTATATATCGCAAAGAAGAAAACAATTTACATATCGCATTGGATTTATATATTATTATTTTTTTGTTAAATTAATGAAGGGCATTACATACATGAGAACTAATGAGACGCCATAAATAATGAAATTACATTTGGGTAACATTCTCCATTTTTAACATTAGAAATTATTCAATCTATTCTATTTCATTTTCGCAAATTACAACAAGAAAAATTTTAGTATATGCTGGATACATGCACATTTTAAATCTTTCAAACAATGAATCTGTGCAATTAATTAACAGTTGATTTGATATCAAGGTTAACACGAATAGAAATAGGTGTACACTGTATCTTTTTAAAAATTATCAATTAAACAAAATCACATAAAAATATTCTTCAAAAATTCACCTAGCAAAATTGTTTATTAGATATAAAAAAAACATTTGATTTTTTAAATTAAATTTTGATAAAATTTCGAAATAATAGAAATAATATTAATATTAATATTATTTATTATTATTATTATATTATATTATATTTTTTTAGTGGTAGTGTTACGTCATGGATGATAATTTATAATATACCAAAAGCGATCATTTATTACATACCTATAAAAGTATTTATAGATCATAAATAATTTTCACTATGGATTCTGAGATTGTATAGCTGATTTAGGAAATGTCGAGACGTGACACAACTCCTTGTTTTCTAATAGGCAGCACCCCTTACATGCTTACGTTCTTCAGCGGTTACGAATTTAAGCGCATATTGAACGATGTTGCACCCAAATTTTTCTCATTAACCTTTGGCGGCATACACGAATTTTTTTTGTTCACGTGCATTCATTCCATCGATATTCGCATGCGTTATGTTCCATGCATGCATGAATTCTTTGCATTTCTTCTAACATCTTGGCTCAATGGTCTTGTAATTCCACATATTAGTAAAAGAAAATATAAAAAAAACTTGCTGTACATAATTTCCATACCAATCAACAATGCCAAAGTATAAGAAGCTTTTCGATCAGGATTACAAGGTCATTCACATGCATTGTGCTAGGACGGCCTCACATTTTATGGATGATAAATTTCCACCGACAGATTCGTCGCTTTGGAAAACAGGCGTCGATAATCATCATGAACCGGTAGTATGGAAGAGGGTTAAGGTAAAGTAGCGGACTTGCTAAAATTACGTTTTAACGATAATCAAGGAATCGTTGATTCAATTCATTCATTCTTTCTTTTCTAGGAACTCACACCTGATCCGCACCTTTTTATATTCGATAACAGTAAAAAGTTAAATACCGACATCATACAAGGGTAAATGTAAGCTCTTTGTAATCCTGACCTGCGAATACATATACATTCAATGTGTATAAACACGAATTGATCACTAGGGAGGTTGGAAATTGTTGGTTGGTATCGGCTCTGAGCGTTCTATCGGCGCATCCACATCTTTTACAAAAAGTTGTTCCCCATTGGTCAATGCAAGATTGGAATCATAGTGATGAACCAGGAAGAAAATTGGGTGTCTATAATTTCAGAGACACGGAGCGTCATCCAGGTTGGTTGCCGTAAAATTTGCGTTCTTGCTTGATCCCTTTCTTTTGATAACCTATCATTTTCGCAGGAGTATTCCGATTCCGATTTTATCGGTTCGGAGAGTGGGTAGAAGTAGTGGTGGACGACTATCTTCCAACTAGAAATGATCGTCTGATTTATGCTCACTCAAGGAATCCAAATGAGATGTGGTGTTCCCTCTTGGAAAAGGCGTATGCCAAGCTTTGTGGTTGTTATGAAGCATTGGAATCAGGTTCTCCTTCTGATGCGCTTGTTGACTTGACAGGTACGGTGCCTGACACCATTGATTTGAATGGAGAAACAATGCGTAGAATGGGCGAAAAAAAATTCTTAAATATGTTGCAAATGAGCAATAGGAGCGGCGCGCTGATGAGTTGTTCGATCAATGTGCTTGAAGGGGAGGTTCGAAGAGAACGTTTACCTAACGGATTGGTTATCGGCGTAAGTTATTTTCATAAATCAACTATTCTTGATAGAAAAAAAATGGATGCATTCAAATATACATACATATATATACTGTATGTATATGTATTCATTTATTTTCATAGCATTCATATGGGATTACAGATATACAAATAATAAAAGTCGGAATGTTCAAAAGGAATAACGAAATTCTTCTTGTACGACTTCACAATCCGTGGGGCGAGGTGGAGTGGAATGGTGCTTGGTCCGACAACTCACCAGAATGGAACATAATTGACAAAGCGAAACGAAATAAATTGGGATTTAAAATTGCTGAAGATGGTGATTTTTGGATGGTACTTTCCGCCATTTATCATTGTGCTTTGTTTCACTCCTGCGATTTCTACTAATTAATATAGTATGCACGTGTGTCATTTGTCTATTATTAGTCGTTCCGTGACTTCATAACAAATTTTTCGACCTTGGTGATATGTCGACATCTCAACACATCACTGTTTTCTCTTGAAAAGCGTTGGTGTGGAATAGCGTTTCGGGGAGAATGGTCGGTGGAGAATGAAACTGCTGGTGGTTGTATCAATAATCCCGAAACATTTCATCAAAATCCTCAGTATTCCATAAGAGTCACCAAACCAATTGATCTCGTGATAGCACTTATGCAAAAAGATCATCGTTCGGAAATTGGGGTGGAAAACGTGACAATAGGTTTCGTCTGTTTTAAAATTGAGGAGAATCGCGAATATCGTATTCACAAACCTACGTACGAAATTGTTGGTCGTGTGACATATGTAAATGCCCGAGAGGTCAGCATGAAGATATCTCTTAAATGCGGACACTACGTCTTGATTCCTTCGACATATAATGTAGGGGAGGAAGGAGAATTTTTTATGAGGCTATTTTCATCAAAATCTGTGATTGTACGCCCGTTGATAAAAGATGCACCTGAAAAGAAATGGTATTACCCGATAGTGTATTTCGGTAAATCCTACTTTGTGGGAATGGTGCGAATAAAAATAATAGGAGTGAATTTGATGAGAGAACTGGGTAAGGGATACGTGACAATAACATTTTCCGATTTAAATGATCGTATCAAACAATCCCTGGTGGCACCGAAGTTCGGTGATGCTCTGGCACCTGACATTAATGCGGAATACGTATTCTATGTGAGGGATCCGCCAAATGCCAAGATTTTATTTCATTTACATGAATCCACGGTATTTGGCAGCGATAAGATGTTGGGAGAGACGGGAATATTGGTTGGACGATATTCGAGACATGGGAAGGAGGAGAAAATTTGGGAAATAACTAAAACATTTACAAAGATAATAAAGGTACCACCACAAATGCGAACGGTCAAGGACGAAGAAAGGGAGGTAGCGGGAGACAACGTAGTTAATGCAAATCGAAGAACTGAACCTCTGACGGACGCAAGGTTCGAGGCTTCGAATAATCAAGAAGGTGAAGATAGCGAAGAAGAGCAAGTTCTGAGAAGCATACCCAATCAAAAGATTATCGTGGTGCCAGTTAGACCAAAACGAAGGAAAAAAAAAAGGGTGTTGGTGCCTATGGCGATCGATGCTGGAATCGGAGAGATACAAGTGAGAATCACCTATTATCAAGGCGTTAAGGCATGATGAAGTTCTTAGCGTTCATAATGTATTATATATATGTATACTGTATATGTATGTTTTAACTGATTTGTATGATTTAAATTCTGAAATGCGCAAGTTTGTACGTAATAATATAATTTTGAATTCAAGATTTAGATTTATTTTCCATGCTTATCGATGTACTTTATATTATTGTATGTCAATATCTATAAATAAATAAGATTACATGGTTGCAATTCACGAAAATGTTACAAAATATTATGTGACTACATACTATAATTTCTATTTACACCATATACCCGTTGATATAATCCATCCTCTTTTATTTAATTAATGATTTATTGGCTATACAAACCCGTTTTAGATTTATCAATTCTAAAATAAAATTAGTAAACATTATCAATTCGTACTGAACTAGATGAGCAACCGCGATGTCATTATTTCAGTCAAATCTCTTTTATAAATGATGCTTAAATTTCTTCCCTGCGCGTCGATCGTTTTGTGCGATTAATGTGATAATTAATTATACAACTCTTGAGAAGTTCACTTATAACGTTCAAGAAACATCGGAAATTTCATCCTGTTTATGTGGTGCAATGTATACAAAAAACAAAGATTATGTGTGAAACTTGGATCGATATTTTTTTTATTGCTACACTAAAAAAAAAGAACTCACATATACCGTAAAGTATAATCACGATGAAAGTTCTTGTGCTGGGTGCCTCAGGATTCATCGGAAGTGCAGTAACCCAAGCTTTTGCTCGCAGTGGTCACATCACTTATGGATTGATTCGTAGGCCTGAGCTTGAGTCACAGCTGGTTAAGGATGAAAGTGAGTTTTATGATGAAGATAGGTTCTTTGATATCTATCTTTCTCATGCATTATTCAAATAGTTTCCTCATTACATTAATGTCTTCTCTAGTATTCCCAATCCTTGGTGACGTACGTCATCCTCAAACTTGGCTTCCAACGGCTAGATCCGTTGACCTTGTAGTCGATTGTACATCGGAGTATACTGAGCCCACTAAATTGTTCGACACTATATACGAAAACGTTGTTGAGATTTCGAAAGCAAGAATGGAACAAGGTGGAGGAAAGCTGGGATTTATTTTTACTTCGGGACTCTGGGTAAGGATTGAGTAGAGAGGAGACGTTGGAAAATTGATGTAAATATCAAACGTATTAAACCATGCTAAATTCAACTCATATCAGATCTATTCTTCAATTGACCGATACTCCATAAAATCAGAATCCACCTTGCTCAACACTGATTTTGAATTGGATATGTGGCGTCCGCCATGCGAGCAACGCATTATAAATTCTCATTATTTAGACGGCATCGTAATTCGCCCTGGTGCTGCTTACGGTAAAGGTGGATCCCTTACGGCAGCTTGGTTTGGAGATTCAATGAACGCGGATGGTAATGATCGAAAGTTGGAAGGGATTGGGAGTGAGGAAGTTAGGTGGTCGTTCGTTCATGTAGATGATTTAGGTAAAGATATGGAAATTTTTTTAAAAAGGTTTGTTTATGCGATAACTAACTATTAAAAAATTAGCCGACGCATATGTGAGAGCAGCAGAACGCGTAGATATAGTGAAGGGGCAAATTTTTATTGTTGTCAATAATTGTTCAGAATCGATAGGTGATGCATTGAAAGCTGTTGCAAGAGTTACTGGATATAAGGGTTGGGGTTTTTTCCTTATACGTAATAGTGCAAACAACAAGCACTTGATAATCACTTTTCTCTTTCCAGGTGTGATTAACTTCCGTGCCCCCGAAAACGAATTCGAAAAAGCGATGACACTCACGGGAATATTTACGAACCGAAAAGCTCAAACATTACTCGGTTGGCAACAGAAACACGTGGGATTTGTGGATGGGATTGAAAGTTGGTGGAGTGCATATAAAGGATGGAACAATATTTGAGAAATGTTGACTTTTATATATTTTTCAATTTTATAAGTAAAATGGATTGAGCTCAAATTATAAACAAAGTTAATTCTACGAAATTTATAATATTTTAGAAGTGTTATTTCATTTTAAATATATACAGTATGCAGTACATAAGAAAAAAAATTTTTTTTTTTTTCAAACACTTTATATATAATGTACCAAAGTTTTTTTATATAAATTACATATTTTTTACAATTATGTTTTTTTTGAAAATATTTTTTTTAAATAATATTATATGATTTTTTATAACATGATGCATTGATTAGATCAAAAAATATTGTGTACAGTATAAAAGATGCAATATGTAAAAGTGTTAATTACAAGTGTATGAAAATTTAAAATCTTAAGAAGAAACAAACCAACCATTAAAATTTTATAACAATAATAATAATAACAATAATAATGATAATAATACATTATTATCAGATCTTTTGTTTTTTTAATATAGATTAGGTTTTGGTACGCATTTTTAAAAATGTTTTTTAGCATAAAAATAAACCTTTAGACGAGACACAGCAATACTATTCTATTTTAAAATTTGATTTATTTTTTATTCATATTATTTTATGTCATGCCGTATACGTTTAGGATTTTGTTAATTATTAATTGGTTGCTAACTTGAGGATTAAAATGAGACAATTCAACCAATCTTTCAAAAGACGACAAATTTCGTATTTTTATTAACCAGAAATACAAGCAAAATTCAAGAGGTATGAGCATTTAATAAAACACAAATTGTTCTTGATGCCAACGTAAGATTTTTAGGGGATTTGTTGTTCCTTAGAGTGATTACTTATTTATGAATCATAAAGGTGACATCTGTACAAAAGAACCAATTGTGGAGCTTTAGGTCCGAATATGAAGTATTCACTTTGTTGTTAACCGCAAAAGATGAAGTAAAAAACGGTTAAAACTTAGGCGTTGAGTGGAAACTGCTGAGCCTCTCCAACTATTTACAACTTGCGGCTTGGTGAATTTTACCTTTATATTTACACAACTCCAGAACTAGGTTTTGACAATGATCACGTTTATCTAAAGAAAATTATATTTCAAAGGACACTCAATTCTTTTATACTGTATAACAAAACTTTTCATTTTCAGTCATCGGGTTCGAAGAGAAAAGAACCTCCATTGAAACTTCACTTGTGGAGGATCTGTAATTAAGTCACCATTTTGTCCTTTTTCTAATCGTCTCGTTTCAGTAATACTGAAATTTAAATAGAATCAAACTTACGTAGATTTCATCAATATTGGAAATTCGATAGATTATTACATATTTTAAAGCGAGCAATTATCCTTTCGACATGTTTTTTACTGTACATATTCTCTCGGTGAAATTTTATTTTCACCTTACACCCATATGCAGCATTTGTTTTCTGACTGCTTAGCATGTGAAAGTACCTAAAGTAACACTGATTGCTTGATTTTCCACCTGACTTTCCTAATATGTACGCATACCATGCTTATGAGTAACACGTAGTATCTGTGTAAGAAAATCATATCTTGGTTCTTTTCCACTTTTCGATATCAAAGAATGAACATAATTGAATTTTTAAAATTTTTATTCTTCACGAAGGTATACCAATCGAGATTTTTACTCGCTTCTTACAAGTGCTGGAAAGTTATTTTAAGATTCTATACAAATACAACTGAACTCTCTCGCATTTGTATAAATGCTGCAAATGAAGCCGGGCTTGACGACAGTTGGTTAGAGAAAGAACCAAATACGAGAACAGAGGATGAAATAGATTCTCCAGAGGGAGATCGAATCCCATTATTAACGATGGGAACAACATGGAGAGATGTTCATGTCTCCATCGAGTCTATTTATCGTATTGGTATGGATGACCAAATATAATTTTATTATTGTTTTTTTTTTTTTCATAAACCACAATCGCTTATGATTATTTTTAAATTAAAGATCGATCCATCCTTTTTTCAAGCAAATTAGAGGTGTTTGCTTTGCCTACATTCGATTTGTTTTTATACACGTTCTTGATTGACATCTAATTCCTATTTTTGCAACATAAGATGGAACGACATATCTTAGAATCAAAGGATTGTAATCTTGACGAAGTCACCCAAATGATCTTGGAAAAGAAGAGTTTTCCAGATCAAGGTTCCCGAAGAACGTGAGAAATATACATACATCAAGTATTTCTACTTCAAATGTGTTTTGCGTAATTCACATGGATATCTCTTCGTTCCAGTGCTGCCGCCTCCGTTTTGCACCAATGTCTGACAAAAATCCGGGATTCATATAACCTCGTAAATGAAATTAGTGCTATAGCGCAAACAAAGTTTGATTCAAGCAAAAAGACTCACGAGAAGAAGTTACTGGAGGTATGTATATAAATCTGACTGCATGACCTTTCTTATTTAATTCTAACATTCGTTAAATCCCTCCTTACCAAAATTCAAAAAGCTATGGGATTTGTTAATGCCTGATGAAACCCTCGAAAATCGTTATAGCGAACAATGGGTCAAAGTAAAAAAAAAATTTCTTATATTAATTCGTGACAAATAACCCTTGTTAACAATTAAGTATCCAAAAATTTGTGAACCTACTAGATTGGCTTTCAAGGAAAAGATCCTTCAACTGATTTTCGTGGAATGGGTAAACTTTCAGAGTAAAAGAGTTATGCGATACAATCTTATAATAAAAATTCATTTATTTCCTAAAAAATCATTATATAGGAATTTTAGGTCTGGACGATTTGATTTACTATGCCAAACATTATCCAGAGTCATCCCGCAATGCGTTGAACTGTTCCCGTCGCGCTGATCTATGGTTACTATTATCAATTTTTACTATTTATATGTTTCATCTTCCTTTACAGTCTTTTTTCATCAAAATTTTATGGTTTTATATAGGTATCCATTTGCTACTGTAGGAATAAATATTACATCCTTTGCAATCCAGACTCTTAGAACGAGGCAAATGCAATACTTTTTATTCATGTACGGCACTACAAAGGAGGTCTATCATGAATTTTTCTGTAAGAACCATATTCTCTTAATGCATTCGATCTTTAGGTTAATTTATCATTGATTTTGGTTTATCGATCTCTCCTGAAGGCTACCTATTCCATTCTTTTAATTTATATTGGATTTCGCAAGAAGTTCCAACAAATGCAATGGAATTTCAAGGAATTTTCGAAAAATTCGGGAAGATGATCATCAAGGATTTATTGGAAAGAAAGCCAATGGTGTTGAATGAATCGAAAGAGATTTTCCTTCAATCAAAAAAAGAGATCTGAAATTGAAAAGGAACACATTAGAACACATATGTAGAACTACTCGAATATTCTTTATTAATGTAGAGAAATAAAAGATGGATCCATATTATAAAAAACTAGTTGCTTTTCGTTTTTAAAATACTTTATCTAATAATATAACGCGTATAAGTCTTTAGAAAACATAAGATTTTTTTTTTATATAAAAAACCCCGGCAAAAGTTCTTTTATTATATATATATTAGTTACGTATATTTTTAAATTTAATTTAATTTTTAATTTCTAATATTATAATTAAAATAACTTTTACGTATATAATTTAATACCATTGGCAATACAAATTCTAATATACATCGAATCACAAAATAAAACAAACAATCAATCAATTCACGCATTAACTGATATCTTTTATATATAAAAAAATATAATATAACAGCTTTAGGAGAAGCGTGATTATTAGAAAATTCGAAAACTATTTATACGATAATCATTTTAATAAAGTCATGATTAAGTTATATGATTTAAATGATTGGAATTTCAATATTACATATTTCAACAATTCATTGATAAAACAAAATATATAAAACTGATTTCCTTCATGAGAGTTTCGAAAACATTCTTAAAATACTGTATTTGGAAAATTATTTCAAACAAAGTCATTTGATGATGAAAATGATGAAAATCAATAAATTTATTTTAAACTCATAACCAAATCAATCAAATAATTTTACTTAATACAAATTTTGTGTATTAATGCTTTTTATAAAAAAAAATTATTTTTTATAACGTTATTAAGTTTAATATACAGTCAGGGACAAAAAAAAATGTCCAAAATTAAAATTATATTTTTATTACTAATTTAATAATAAATTGATTAATTAAGATAAAAAAATATACAGTATATTTATTTATTTATTTAAAGATACAGTGTAAAGAATAAAAACAAATAAATAATTTTTCTAAATATATTAAGATAATATTATTGAATTTTAATTAAAATAATATTATAGTAAATTAAATTTTTTAATCTTTTTATCATTTACAGTAAAACAACAATAATAAATTATTTAAATTATTTTAATATATAAATTAATTCATTATAGATTAATAAAAACTTAAAATGTGCATGTATCACAACTTAGCCCTTAAAAAAAAAAACTTTAAAAAAAATTATTAAATCTTAATTATTTTTTATTTTTATTTATTTATTTATTTAATAATAATAAACTATTACAAATATAAATAGAGCTCCTAACAATACCACTTTGATACTACTTTGATACCAGTTTGATACTTAAATTTACTATAAAAATATATAAGTAAGTTATAACCCATATATTAAATTTACTATAGATCAGTACCATTTTGATACAGTTTGATACTAGTTTGATACTTTTCAGAGTCCTAAATATAAGAACATATAGAGTGTTGCAAAAAAAATATTAATTATATTTTTATTTATAACTTAACAAAAATTATTTAAAAAAAAATAAATTTAAATATGATTAAATTGATATCTATAGAATAATTTTATTTAGAACTACTTTATTAATTAATTTATAATTTAATTTGATATTTTAATTTTTAATAAAATTTTATATTGTACTTTTAAGTTTCTATTTAATTTTTGTTTAAAAAAAAGTAATATATTGATATATTTGTATTTATATAAATTTTGCTTTTTAAATAAAAGATTTTAAAAAGTAAAATAAAAGAACAAAATAATCAATTAAATAATTTTTTTTTAAAAAAATATTAATATTAATATAATAAATTTTTAATTAAAAATTTTAATAAATCTATTTCTTTTAAAATATAAATTAAAAAAAAAAATTTAAATCAATACTTATTTAATAGTTATAAAAATTTCAATTATAAAAATTTTTTATATTATTTTTTTTGTAACACATTATATATAAAATATAAATTTTCTTCAACCAAACTTATTTATTAACAGTTAAAGCTTCTAAATATAATTTATAGAAATAATAATATTGTTTTTAAAATAAAAAAAATTAAAATCCAAAATTTCAATAGAATTAAAATTTGTAGATTACTTTTATAATTATAACTATAAATCAAAATTATATTGCTTCTTTTATAAAAAAATTATATAAAGAAAAAAAAGTTATTATTTATTCTAAATATTATTAAAAAGGTTATCTTAATAAACAAAAATTCAAATTTTTTATAATTGTTTATTTTTTAGGTATGACTTTGGAGATAAATAAGATTGCTCTCTTTGTTATTTACTTGTTTATAGAGTTCTATTCCAAAAATCATTGCTTGCAGTTTATCACTACAGTTCATCTTTTTAAAATATGAACTACTTTTTATATTCCTAATCATTTTTTCTTTTCTTTAATCCCTTCCCAAATTAAGATTTTGTCTTGAATTTGTGTGAAAAAGTCTTCTGTGTCATCTTCTTGTGGCTCTCTTAGGTTTGTTTCCTCCTGATTGTGATTTTTTAATTTTTTCTTTTTTTTTCCTATCCCGTGTGTATCTTTTTTTCTGTATCTGTATATTTTAGGTTTTTTTCCTGAGTTCTGTAATCTGATATATTTGTTATTTTATAGCTTTTTCCTAAATTGCTTGCAAATATTTCTTAAAAACTTCTTTAGTAACTGCCTCACTTTATTAGTTTTGATCTTGATTTTGGCCATTGTTTGTATCCATTCTAATATGTTTTCTTTTGAAAGAAATCCTAAGCACAAGTTTATAATTTCTATACCTGTAGAGAATTTATGTCTGTACTATCTTTATAAAAGCTCTTGTATTATAGTTTGCCTGTCTTGTATTTTTTCTGCCTGAACATTTTCCAGCCATTTATTAAGTAGCTAATCCTGGCTTTTGTTCCATATTTCTTTACGTATTTTTGTAATACTGTTGCAAAAGAGTAGATATTTTAAGGATTCTTCTTCTTGTTGACAGTATAGGCACTTAGTCAGATTTATATATTTTATAGAAAATCTTTTGGTCATATTGTTCAGAGTTGATAGTTTATTATGCATTAATTTTATTCAAAAGGTTTTATCTTGAACTTGTTTGAAAAATGTTATTAAGAATCTTTCTACTTTGTTTGCTTTCCAAAGACTTTTTCAGTCGAAGTTTTCTTGATTGTTTATTTCTTTGATCCATATTTTTTATATTCAATTTTGACTTGCCGATTTCATTAGAATGCTTCTCTTATATATTTCTTTGACAAATTCTCCTATTTCTATGTCGATAGAAATCTTGTTCCAGTATAGTGTTGTTAGGACTTCTTGTCAATACCAACTGTTTCAGCAAATCTCTAGTTCTTTTTTTGCTGCTTTAATGAAAAGGTCCATCTTGTTATTAGCCTCATCCTTGTAATAAGCTTTTACTTTAGTCATTTGAATCATGATTTGTTTCTTATGTATTAGATCTATGCATCTTGTTTACAGTTGCCAGTTCTTCTATTTTCTGTTTCTTTTTCCTATATCTCTAATATGGGGTTTAGGAGCTTTTGCAGAATGTTGATACAGGTTATGTAATCTGTTTTGATTTCTATTTGACCTTTTTGAGATATAACCAAGAGTGTTAGAATGATTGCGACAAGTTCTGTCTGAAGTGCTGATGGCCAGTTATCTACTCTTGCTTGAAAGAATCTTCCTGGGTTTGGTTCTTGGATTTATAGCCAGACAGCTCCTATTTTTAATGATTGGTCTCTTTCTTTGCTGTATAATCCATCTGTGTAAAAACAATAGGACTGTTGAAAGTTACTTTCTTTATTGATTCTGTATTCTTTTATCAAGGCTTGTATATAGTCTGGAGATTGAATATGTTCTTTGATTATTTGCACTTTCCGGTCTTCTATTTCAACTGCTATAATATGGTTGTCAGTAATCTCTTTTTTTTGAAGTGTTCCAATTCTTTTTCGATAAGGTTTTTCAAGTAAAGATGGGTCCCTAAATTAAAGGTGAGGATATAATTCAAATGTCCCTAACTATTAAAAAAGTTTTTTTTAAAATATAAGGTCAAAAAAAAACTACCTACAAAGGTTTTTTGCAATTTAGGCCACTTGATCCAAGTGTTTTTTGAATTATGTCCCTATTAAAGTAATAAATAAATAATTATGTTCCTTCAAAAGGGATATAATTGATCTGCAAAATTTTATATGCTAAATAGTTTAGGGACCCATCCTTATTTTCAAGACATGTATACTAATCAGAATTTCTGGTTCATCTGCTTTTCTAAGGATTAAACATTGATTAATAATGTCACATAATAGTGATCTGGTCTTTGATTTTTTGTTGTTTCTATAAACATTTGTTCTGGTTGATAAACTTCTTGTTTCCTCATTGGTCTGAAATTGGGTGGTGCCTTTGCTTCTTTGTAGTTTGACTGTATCTGGTTTGGATCCTATTTTTAGGTTGTAAACTTTTGCTTGGAGAGCTTGATGATCAGTGTCTCCTTTACTTCTATACCAAATGATTTGTCTATTTGGTTTCTTTGGACTTATAATCTTTCAATTCCATTAGTGTCAGTCTTTATTTGGACTAGTAGAGAAAAATCTTCTGTTTTGCTCTTTCCAATTTCAACTTTGTCATTTGTTATTTAAAACATTGTACTTATTTATTAAGGTGAATTGGATTTTGCTGAACTATAGTAGTATTGGCTCTTTGCTGATATTTGAGAAGATTTGAATAATTTTCCATGATAGTATTGTTTTGCTGTCACTATTGATTATTTGATCTATGAAAATTATATTGTGCTTTCTTAGATATGAAATTGCTTTCTGGTATAACTTTGTATCATTGAGCATATTCTTGATGAATAGTGAATCTCTTTTCCAATCAAAGCAATTTGATTATCAGGAATTAAATATTGTGATTCCTAGATTGTTAGCCATTTTCAGAACTTGGGTTAAGAAGTTCTTTGAATATCTGAATGATTAAGGAATATCATTAATCAAAATATTGCTTGGTTTTCAGTTTTGAACCTAAGCTTGTTTGAGATAGATTAATGTGGATATGCTGGCTGGACTCATGTCACACAGTCTA